TACCAGTGTGCTGCAGAGTCACAACAGAGAGAAACCAGGAGTGGACGCTTGACTTTATGGAAGCTATTACAAATTACGATGTTAGACAACTGCACTGGTTTGACATCGTCAGTAATCCGTACAACTGGAAACCGTATCTACGGGCACCTGAAAGAGGGCAACCTGCAGTCCAAGTTCAAAGACATGCCAGTAATGCCAACTATACTATCAACTTGCTAACGAGTGCGTCGGGTATTGGCCATGCTGATATTATTACTGGGCTTCCAACGGTTTAGAAATGTTGGATTTTTTTGATGACGCAACAAGAATCGTCGATGTATTTGGAAACCCCATTTTATCAGATGGAGATTGCGTTGTTCTCGACAATTGTGGGTTTCACCACGGACATTTTGTAGAGCCAGCACTAAGAGATTTACTACGTAGACAGGGAGTTGAACTAATTTTTCAGCCTCCATACAGTCCACAGTTTAATGTTTGTGAACTCTGCTTCCGCTATATAAAAATTTGCCTGAGAGGAAATGAGGAGTATTCTTATCGATTTACTGAACTTGCCTTGCCGAGGCAATTAGGAAAATTGGTCCTGGTGCCTGTCGTCAATTTGCTGCAGAGTGTGGTTATATATAAATAAGACGTCAAACTGAAATGCATATAAAACGTAATTTGTTGATATTATTTAATAACTCAAATAGAAATATAGAGGGTAAAAATGACATACCGTTAACACGTCAAGTATGATTTTGTATGGTTTCACTTTATAAATGATTATATAATGAACACATTATACACAATGTACTGTTTTTTTATTTTATTTATTACCATGTATACTAATCACATTTAATGTATGTAAAACATTTAATTTTGCAACAGGAATACTATAAAGCTGTACATGAACACAAAACAATCAATAAAAATGCTATTATCACTGTTGTGAATACAATGTGTAAAAAGTGTTTTCGTCAAAGGCAGAACCCAAGCGAACTTTAACGCTGCCAATAACATAAACTGGTAAATAAATTAACAAAGGGTGTGTCTAATATATTTGACTATTGTAAACTGCTTGAAAAACAAATCACACCAACTATCTAATTTGTAAAAATAAAAGAACATATCTTTTTTACCCCACCTTCATCCCCCTTTTTTGTTTGTGCACACTTCCAAACATTCAGACTAAATTAGTTTTGCCACTGACTTTGATATTAAATCAAAATTTGTAAAATAACTGATCATAAGTTTACTTTCCGCACTCAACATGTGTTTCACTCTAAAATTGTGTGTATACACACTTTTGTGAAAATAAAACATCATAATTTTACTTTCACCACCCAACAATTGTTTCCCATTCTAAAGTTTTATGTACTTTTTTTCAATTTTAATTCAGACCAAACCCAGACATGATGGTCTACTGATATTTCAGAAACAAAAATTGTTGTCAAATTTGAAAACAAAACCAAATTAAATATTGCCCTTTTGCTAATAATGATACATATATTTCTTGGAAAAATAGGCGGATTTTGTTCTGACCTGGACTACCGATTTGTGTTTTAAAATCAGTTCTTTTGTTCTGGTTCAGCGGACAGAGCTGCCGCGGTTGCTGCAAGATTTAACAAACAAGCATTTGGATCAAAGTTAGTAATGTTTTCTGTTTGTTGTGTACTTGGAACTTGTGATACAGTTGTCTGTACTGGCTGTGGCGGGAATTCTGGTATGTCAGGCTGCGAAATGGTCGATTCTTGAGTGGGTAGAGTAGCAGTAGATGTTACTTGCACATTTCTGTCCATTTCTGTTTGAAGGCAGATATTCGCACCGCGATGTAAGTAATTCGGCGGGTTCGGTGCAGCTGGGATTTGTAGCGGATGGAATGGTACTGCCCACGGAGAATTTACATTAAAACCACCTGTATACATCGAACATGGGTTGAAAAGGTTGAGTCATGTATTGATTAACAGGACCGGTGTTTAGATTATCATGCGCGGTGTTAGGTTCAGCTCACAGTCAGCTGGCGCACATCTGATATAATAAAATAAATGCGATATTTACTATATGGGGGCCGCCATCTTGAATGACGCATGAAACTAAATAAGAGACAAGTTGCGAAACGCGTTTTTCAGATTCCTGCAAATCAGGACAAAAATACCAATCTTTCACAAAAATACGGTCCGTTGGGGTTATATTAAGCCAACCGATAACAAAATTCGGCCGAATTCGTCGTTTTTGTGTGGAAAAATCCCTTGCATACGAACACCTAATTACGCGAAGAACATAGAACACTAAGCCGGAGTATTTGAAACTAAAAATTGACATTCCAGCACAGCAGCCAATCAGCGACGGCCTAAT